AGTGAACAGTATTTACATAAGGGTAAAGAGGTTTTCGTTGGATTTATGGATTTGGAGAAGGCATATAATAGGGTGGATAGGGCAACAATGTGACAGATGTGTGTGGAATAGGTAGTAGGTTACTGGGCTATCTTGTAGAGACCAGCTTATCCTGGCTTGGCTTAATTGCATATCAACCCGGGTCTATCTCTCGTAGGCTGAACACAAAAAACCACTTGCACTGAGCAACAAGGGCCAGGAAGATGATGAGTAGTAGAGATGAGAGGAAGTGGAGCAGGATGGTTAACAGACAACTTCCCCTAGTCCACACGCTTCTGCCCAAGTCCCCTCACGTAAGATCGTCACTTTAATCACTCTTTATCGACGTAATCCAAAGGCTTACGTAAGCACACGCTGGCACCATTTTCTTAGAGGGTTCTTCAAGTGAAAAGTAAGGTAGCAATAACTCTATAAGTGGACTGATATGCTTACATTGGCGAGTAAGACGGAGACCAAGCTCAGTGTACGTGTGCGTGTATACCTGCCTGATCAAGACTGACTCGGCCTATGGACAGCCGGGAAGTGCTCAGATGGGAGTCACCTGACACTAGTGTGATGGACAAAGACCCACAAAGGAAGACCCATGTATAGGAAAATATTTTACTGATACCTCAGCCTCACCCACCACCCACACACACTATTTTGTCCTGAACTCAGCCTCACCCACCACCCACATCTACTACTTTGCCCTGAACTCAGGCCTCACCCACCACCCACATCCACTACTTTGCCCTGAACTCAGCCTCACTCAGTCTCCGCTAGTTTCTTTTAGCCTCAACCTCGCAAAGCAACTGTTTGCAAGACCTTCCTTTAACCCCAGCTTCACCCACCACCTAACTCCACCACTTACTACTGAGCTCATCTTCACCCACCACCTAACTCCATCACTTACTACTGAGCTCATCTTCACTCACCACCTAACTCCATCACTTACTACTGAGCTCATCTTCACCCACCACCTAACTCCACCACTTACTACTGAGCTCATCTTCACCCACCACCTAACTCCACCACTTACTACTGAGCTCATCTTCACCCACCACCTAACTCCACCACTTACTACTGAGCTCATCTTCGCCCACCACCTAACTCCACCACTTACTACTGAGCTCATCTTCGCCCACCACCTAACTCCACCACTTACTACTGAGCTCATCTTCACCCACCACCTAACTCCACCACTTACTACTGAGCTCATCTTCGCCCACCACCTAACTCCACCACTTACTACTGAGCTCATCTTCGCCCACCACCTAACTCCACCACTTACTACTGAGCTCATCTTCGCCCACCTCCTAACTCCACCACTTACTACTGAGCTCATCTTCACCCACCACCTAACTCCACCACTTACTACTGAGCTCATCATCACCCACCACCTAACTCCACCACTTACTACTGAGCTCATCTTCACCCACCACCTAACTCCATCACTTACTACTGAGCTCATCATCACCCACCACCTAACTCCACCACTTACTACTGAGCTCATCTTCGCCCACCACCTAACTCCACCACTTACTACTGAGCTCATCTTCACCCACCACCTAACTCCACCACTTACTACTGAGCTCATCTTCACCCACCACCTAACTCCATCACTTACTACTGAGCTCATCATCACCCACCACCTAACTCCACCCACTTACTACTGAGCTCATCTTCGCCCACCACCTAACTCCACCACTTACTACTGAGCTCATCTTCACCCACCACCTAACTCCACCACTTACTACTGAGCTCATCTTCGCCCACCACCTAACTCCACCACTTACTACTGAGCTCATCTTCGCCCACCACCTAACTCCACCACTTACTACTGAGCTCATCTTCACCCACCACCTAACTCCATCACTTACTACTGAGCTCATCATCACCCACCACCTAACTCCATCACTTACTACTGAGCTCATCTTCACCCACCACCTAACTCCACCACTTACTACTGAGCTCATCATCACCCACCACCTAACTCCACCACTTACTACTGAGCTCATCTTCACCCACCACCTAACTCCATCACTTACTACTGAGCTCATCATCACCCACCACCTAACTCCACCACTTACTACTGAGCTCATCTTCACCCACCACCTAACTCCATCACTTACTACTGAGCTCATCATCACCCACCACCTAACTCCATCACTTACTACTGAGCTCATCTTCACCCACCACCTAACTCCATCACTTACTACTGAGCTCATCTTCACCCACCACCTGACTCTGCCACTTCTCAGTACTATTTATTTGTCACTGTTTTAACATTTCGTGCATTTGTTAAAGCGTCATATTGGTGAGATAACATAAAAAAAGGTCTCATTTTATTATAAGTCTTTTTTCTCAAACATGTATCGGCTGCTCTATGTTTCATCTACTGACGAAGTGAGATAACCAAAAACAGTTCTTGAGAAGAGGTGGGAGCAAGGCAGAAGACAGGCGAACAGGTGTTAAGTTAAACAAAGACAGGTCAAAAGAGGTGAAGAAAATGATTATTATTATTATTATAATCAAGGGAGAAGCGCTAAACCCGTAGGATTATAAAGCGCCTGTGGGGAGGATGTGGAAGGTATTCAGGCTTAATTCAGGTAACTGGAACACAGATCCAATTCCCTTGATCAAGAGCCCTTCACCAGCGTCAAGGAACCTTCCTTGAGGGGAGAGGTGAAGAGAAATATGATGTCATGTCATGTCATGTGTGTTCTGAAGAATAGAGCATTTCTCTTTATACTGAGAAAGGAGAACAGCAGCAGCCGCCGTTCTATGGCTTTCTCACTATTTGTTCTCACTTGGGACAATGATAATTATCCAGAATGGACTGAAAACTTACCTCAGATTTTCTCTACAAACTTCTGGTTTGTTGTGAATTATTAAAGGAGAGCAAATGAGAGAGTGGGTGAGATGCTGCCAACAAATGTTGTTGAGAATAAGACAAAGTTTTGGAGTGAAATTAATAAGTTGAGAAATCCTAGGGAGCGAATGGATTTGATAGTTATAAATAGAAGAGAGTTGTTTGATGGGTTAGTTGGAGGTATCAGGAAGATGGAGAGAATATTTGAGGAAGTGTTAAATGTTGATGAAGACAGGGAAGCTCTGATTTCGTGCATTGGCTAGGGAGGTATAACATCTTGTAGGGGTGAGGAAGATGTAAGTGTGGGGGAGGTGCAGGAGGCTGCGGGTAGAATGACGGAATCAAGACAGAATTGTTAAAAGCAGGTGACTATCATTCAGCGGATGTTAAGTCACTTGGTAACTCAAAATTACCAGCTCCTTACATCGTGTTTATATACTGACACAACAGCTCTATACATCTTTATATATTGACACAACAGCTCTATACATCTGTGTATACTGACAAAACAGCTCTATACATCATCTTTACATACTGACACAACAGACCCATACATCATCTTTATATACTGACATGTCTTAATTTTTACTTCAGTTTCTCTGAAGATGCCCATCTTGTTAAGCAAAATTATTTACGGGATATTTTAACCTTAACAACTGAAAAACTAAGCTGAGGCAACGTTGACTGAGTAATGTCAATCAGACACATTCACTTCTTTGTGTCTTACTTTGTGGTGTTATGCTCTCAGGGTAAGAAGTTATATTACACATCTGAATTATATAAAAACTTCTGTACTTTCATTAATCTGCTGCTGTAAATCTGATATTTGAAAAAAAAAAAAACGATAACTCCAGTGATAATGTCGCCAACTCAGAAGTAAATAATTTGAATGTAATCAAAGTTGTACTAGGCTGACTCGGGCAATTATATAAATAATGTATAAGAAGTCTTGCAACATCCAGTCAAGACTGTTCAGTGTTTGCTTCCTAAACCCACAGCTACATCTCTCCTAGAAAATTACGTCACAAACCTTTTGCAAAAAAAAAAAATAAAGTTAAGTTCACGGGGAAGCACAAATCCCGTAGGGGTCATAGAGCACCAGGGAAGTGGAAGGTTATCAGGTTCTATCCAAGAACGAAAACAACCTCGAATTCCTTTAATCAAGAGACCTTCACCGGCATCAGGTTCTTCTCCCCCCCCCTTCCCTTGTGAGGGGGGGGAAGATCCAGTACCTGAGAGCACCGCCTGAACTAATGTGCTCAGTATCAAGCTAGATTCTTTTTACTTTGTTTAAAAAGACACTTGAACGAACATAAGGCTTATTTATTAGAAAACGTTTCGGTCCTGGGACGTTGATCACTTCTAGCAAATTAGAAGTGATGAAGGTCGCAGGACCGAAATGTTTTCTAATAAATATATCCTACTGTGTGCTCACGTGTCTTTCTAAACCAGTTTTGTCGATATCACTTACCAAGGTTAATACCATATTTTTATTATTATTTTTCATGCACTCTTGATGTTGTCCTCATTCCAGCACCTGTTCTGCATGTCTATATATTATCGGGACTTGACTGTCCATTCTCAAATTAGATCAACGGCCCGTCTGTCATCTCCGGCCCATGCACTGACAACCTTTCAAATAAGTTTACAAAAGACTGAGTATAATGTGAGAGATCTACCAAAGCTCCACATGACAGCCATCATATCGTTGAGTTCGAGATTTCAAAACTCTGCATGAACTGTAATTTTTACTCTATACAGTTTGTTCTAAATATCATGGTCAGCATATTATTCCGCTCTCATTGACAGCCAAGTCGTCTACACTTCCTTTACATCTTCATAATTCTACATATCACTTTTACATCGCTTCTGTATCATACCAGATGTGACTTTATATAAGTCCGGGCAGTTCTAATGTTACCTGTCTCACAATAGTTCACGTCTGCAACTGGGTTTACCCATTGCTCTTCTTGGTTGCATGCTTCGCACCCAAGCACGTTATATTTTTCAGTGTGTCGTCTATTTAGTGTTATCCACCCTTTATCATCCTTTAATTCATCAACTCTTCGTAATGGTAATAATCACAGTTCAATTTATTCATCTATTTCAGCCGACAAGACAAGCACGAGACCGGAGCAATGTCCAAGCAGCACTAGCAGTGTGGAGCGGGTGAGAGAGTCCAGCCTGGCCACGGTCTTGCTGACATCCATCATCCTCATCTACTCCTCCATGACCCGCCCGTGAGGAAAGTCCCACCCGCCTCTCCTTTCAACACACAAAAGCCTCCACTTGTAACAGCTGCCAGCGAGGAATGAGGCTCTCCAACACTAAAGACGACGATAAGTTGCTCTTTGACGCCGCTTTAAGTATGCTGAAGGCGACGGCAGGTTGCTGTTTGCTGCCGCTTAGTATGTTTTCTGGACGTCTCATTGCGTCGTCCCGCTAGTTGAGTGCTATTTAGCCAGAATATACCGCACTAAAGCCGTTTATATACAGATTCTGTAGCAGTGCTGAAAGTGTTGAGTGCAGTCTGAACTACTAGTTGTAGCAGAGAAAAAATGGACTGATTTAACAAAAGTTGTGAACAAAATATAGTTTTCTAGATTTCGAACTTATGTGCTGTCATGATTTCTGGCAACAGAAGTTCCAAGATAACAGGTAATGGATAGAAAGCCAAGGTTATATTATCGCATGTAGCTCTGATGGGGTGAATAAGGAGCAATACATGGGACTCTGGCTGAGATGATAGGCTACACCCATAGGGAATAGGCAGAATGTGAGCCCTCGGTGTTTATAGCATAAATCGTCCCAGGATCACAATCGGCACTTGCTACATCTTTATCGTCTAAGATAGCCTATATGTATAGCGAGGATGGAGTTGTCCTGTTGTGTGGCACTGGTTGTCACAGGAGACTAGTGCCAGAAGTAAAAACAGTGCTGCCTGGACCACCCTCCTCGCTCAGAGACAATGATCCTAGCAGTCTTAAAGGTCGTAAAGCTTTCTTCTTGTTAAGTGACTGTAGAAGGTGAGCTTTATTAACACCTTACATCTAATCTAAGTATTCGCGTTATTAGACCTCATATTTTTTCGGTTCTTTAGTAATCCCCGCCAATAGCTTGGACGTGGAATAGCAAGGACCCACTCATTATGATGATGCCATTATACCATGCCTGCTCTATCATGGAATGGCATTCTGTCACTTTCTCGAGGCATTTAACCGATGTCTCTTTCTGGACGCTATGCAGAGTTGTAGCCGTGAGACGCATGCACGCCCTTATCTGATCCTCTTAGCAACGCCACCCTCACTCAGACAACCCATACATATCTCTCCGGTAGTTCAAGGATTTCCTGTACATGTGCTAGGTTTTATCAGGCGTTCCGTGGTCCTCAAACTTTGGTTTAGTCAAATATGAACTACCACTTGCATTCTTAATTCACCCTGGCAGGTGCAGAGTCTAGCAGAGGTGACTATTATGGTTGTCTTTGAGATTTATGATAGGACGTTAAAGATACTGTTAGTACTTCAACCAGGCTAAAGACATTTAATGCTATATCCCGTCAAAATGGCTAAATATTCCAGTGTCTGTGGCGTAAACGATGTGGCAAGGGGGATCCAAAATTAGCCATTTTGGCGGGAAATAGAAAAAATTTTCATTTTGTTAAAGGACTATTAAGCCCCAAAGGTCATTTTAACCTGAACGAAAAAAATTCGGGAGTTTTCCTTTTACCAAAGTTTTGTTTTTTATATAAATTAAATATTATAATTAAATTAAAATAAAATTTTTATTTTTTTAAGTGGTTTAATCACGGGGGGGTCTAACGCCCGGGCCTGATTAAAACGAAAGCCGGAATTTTTTTAAGTGGTTTTCTTTCCTTATGTTTTTCCCATAACTCGATTTCATGTCTCATATTATAAAAGTATAAAATACTTGATACCAAAAACAGTTTTCCCATTTTTGTAATTTTACTTTTTTACCCTTTTTCCCCGAAATGAACGTTCTTTGAAAGCCACTGTAAAAGGATAAAATCCCGGACGTTTGTCCTCTTCTACGCAAGCTGTTTTATATAATAAATATAAAAGAAAAATTTTAATTTTTTTATTATATTTAAAAGAAAAATATATATATATATATATATATATATATATAATATATAAATGCCTTCTTAATTTTACGATAAAAGCTTATTATCAAATTTCATGGTATAGAAGAAGCGTCGCTTGCATCAGGGTAAGAACACGGGGATGTGCGTCTCCCTTTCACGCTTGTAAAGTTCTCTCCCTCCCTTGTTCCCGCGGGCTCCCACTACACTAAAAAAATCACCATTTTCTTGTTAGTTCACATGTACATTCTCGAGAGTTTCTTCTTTGTTTCGTCCTATCTAGATAGCTTAACAAAAAAAATAATAATAACTTAAGAATATCACTATTGTCAAATGTCTATAGACTTATGGTATACTGTTGTCGGCCGTATCTGGTCGTTCGTATGCTTGTGAGTGTTAAACCATGTACAAAAAAAAATATTAGCATGACGTCTAGTCGCATTGATTATCTTTTTTTGTGTAATGATTCGGGCAGGTTCAAAAACATTGTAGATCAAACGAAAAAATCAAATGATATATAGAGAATATGGTATTTTACGAGTGCTGAAAACTGACTAGACAATATGTTATCCAACTGTGTCTTTTGGACCTGCTTAGCTGTGCATAATGAGACAAAACATGTTATAGTAATATATCCAAGCAGATCTCGCGGGGCGGTTTGCCGTGCGTTATAATTGGTTGAATCTAGTGAAGACAATACGAGGGAGACGACTCCATATAACTCAAAGTGTAGGTATTATTTTTCTGCTAACGCATACACAAACATGCGCACAAATACACATGCGAGCACTCTCACACGCACACACACGCACATACACACACACACACACACACACACACACACACACACACACACACACACACACACACACACACACACACACACACACACACACAAATCTATATAAACCTTCTTGTTTTACTGTACATATGGGAAAGTACTAAAAACCTCTACTAAGCTGACAATTGCTTCGTTTACTGAAGCACTTGTAATGCTACGTGTCTTGCATATGTATATAGAAAACAGTATTTGTAGCATCTCGGAGTATATAGTTCTATTCAATATAATACAATATAAATAGTAGATTTCCTTCATAATTATTCAAGACTTTTGTTTGTGGTGTAGCGTATGGACCTCCAGTCGACCTTCCTGTTATGATATTGGTGCTTAAAATTCTTAGGGTCATTCTCCAATGTCACAGATTTTCAGTAAGTCTTATATAGCCACTATTTGATCAAGAGAGCAGTAACCTTACTGAATATTCAGGAGACTTGAGAACCTCCCTAGATAGCCGCCTAGACCATGAGAAACTTCTTCAATTTTTCCGCCTATTAATCTCAATTTAGACCCGATCACTGCCGCATATATGAAGTGTTCGCCCCCATTTCCAGTTCCTGCTAGTATCCCATCAAGTTTTACCATTCTACTTCGGTAGAAATATTAATCTTGTTGGGATGCCTTCTAGGATAAGGGAGCACTGGTAATGCTGCGCCCTCCAAAGCCATTAGAAAGCTTATTAGAAACCCATGGATAAGGTCACAAGGGAAAGTCTGAGGATAAGGACACGTAAACATATACATGGATAAGGTCACATGGGAAAGTCTGAGGATAAGGACACGTAAACATATACATGGATAAGGTCACATGGGAAAACAGTTGGATATCCATCGGTCCAGGAGGTAGATGCAGGAAGTTCTGATATGCGTTCTCTGAAAGTAGATACCAGTGTGGCGAGTCCTCCTAGGTGCGATGGACATAACGCATTGCCTAGTGTGACAATGCCATAGGTACAAGGCAGTAATGCTTCATAAGTCAAGTTTTTGTGCGAAGATCTTTCATGCATATGTCCCCCAAAATCAGAAGAGTGAGTTCAGCTGTATGCTGAGCCGTGCGGCCCATGACCTCAGTCCACCCTTCATCCTTGGACGTCCTGGGATATTCCATAAAATGTAGCGAAACACAGATCAGCGGGCAGCGGCAGTGGCCAAAGTAGTGAAACACGTCTCGTAAGAGCATGTTTGTGATACACATGATCAAACCCAGGTGTATTTCTTGCCACCCCCAGACCGCTGGCACCCGCTGAAAGTCCATACATCACGTTGGAGGCGACAGAGGGGCAGTAAGAAAAGGAACAGCGAGATGGAAATAGTGAGACACAAAGAAATGGCAGGGCGTGAAAGAATGATGGGACATGAACGAATTGCAGAAAGTGATGAAATGAGGGGAAGCTGCGAATGGGCGAGAAACGAAAGCATGGCACGATAACAAAGAATGGCGGAAGCGACAAAGAGGCCGGAGGGGAACGTCCATCCCCAACTTTCCAATTCGTTTGTGGATGAAAACTCATCATTAATGAATAACTCATCATTAATGCAATTAATTTTTTTGTCCTTTTATGATATTCATGATAATCAAATATGACTTTTCGAAGCCCTGACACAAATGACTTTTTTGTTTTCTTAGATTTAAGTGGTAAATGTAATTTATTTCATAAATAACCATCGTTAATCGTTAGTAAACTCATACAGTTATGTTCGTTGTTGTTCTTTATCTCTTGTAAAAAATGTTTATTAAAAACCATTGAAATGTGTTACAAAAATATATATTAAAATAGAAGTAAAAAATCTAACCTCAACACAGTATTATATTCAGGTCGTGTTGATTAGCTGAACAAAATATATTAATGGAAATAAGTCCTTGAAGTTCTTTCATATAAGAATTTTTTTGAGCAGTTTACGAGAGTGAGTCTAGCAGAAGAGACATCACCTCGCTTGTTTATTTGCATTGCCTTCCTGTGTGACTTCATGAGGTCTCCTTTATGTTCCACAACTGAATGCTTAATGTTTTTTTAAGCTCTGGAACTGAATGCTGAATGTTTTGCTCAGGTACCGACTACTGAATGCTTTGTTTTGGAACTGACTTCTGAATATTTCGTTCTGGAACTGACTTCTGAATATTTCGTTCTGGATCTGACTACAGAATGTTTCGTTCTTGATCTGACTACTGAATGTTTTGTTCTGGAACTGACTTCTGAATGTTTCGTTCTGGATCTAACTACAGAATATTTCGTTATTGATCTGACTACAGAATATTTCGTTATTGATCTGACTACTGAATGTTTCGTTCTGGATCTGACTACAGAATATTTCGTTATTGATCTGACTACTGAATGTTTCGTTCTGGATCTGACTGATAAATATTTTTATGTTCCAGAACTGACTGTTGAATGTGCTTCCCTCAACAGCCCTTCACTCTTGTGTTTTTCCTCACACTTGTGAAAAAGTTCCGTGGACGGGAGTGACTGACAAAGCTGATAGCTCCAGCGGAAGCAGTCTGTAATGCAGCATTACGTGCTTCACCAAGACTTTGATACTAGATGCAAGCACATTTCACATCGACTAATCGACAATAAATGTATCATTATAAATTATACATACAGCATAATGTATGAATTACTTAACATAACCCAGTTACTTTTTTTGCAACAGTTTACCAGCAGATTATTAATTATAGCCGCCAGCAATCATTCGTTCACCGATTCAAAGAGGATCATCGACACTACTTTTAATTAAACTCTTGTTAATTGCTTGCATCTTTTCCCTACCCCCTCTCTGAATAAAAAATCAGCAACAAGCGATCAAATCAGAGAAAAGTGGTGCGTCATCCTGTTACTCTGAAGAGCGACTCATCTCCCAAGCTTCCTGGCACTCTGAAAGTGGTCAAGTTGCCCCTCAAGTTCTACTCCCCACCTGGCGCACTCACTCTTCCTCTTAGTTCTTTATTTCCTCATCGTCTGTTTCGCTAGCTTAAGCCTCAGCTGCTCTTAGGCATACTGTAAGTGCATGCCAGGTGGGCTTTCTAGAGTCATCCAGTTGGTGTGTGGACTCTAGAAGCACAAGTCTTCGAGGGATTTTCTGGATTTATTTAGGCGCTGGAGTGCAGTCCAGTTAGTGGGTTTACCTGGGAAAACATTTGGCATTCCTTAGAATCATGCAGATTTCAGATTTTCTAGATGTTCATCTTATGGGATGTCTAGAATGTTGAAATTGGCGCATCTGGTAGGAAGAATCATTCAGATGGCTAATGCTATGTCACACCCGACTCGTGACTTTACTCACGCCAAAGTATGTCTTAGAACCGTCACTCTACCTTAGCGATTTTGAGATCGATTGTAGTGCTTCAGTAAGGTTGACTTTCTTCCTCATCTTAAAGAGAGATTAATTCCTATTGATTGACTACTTACTTTTGAAAATCATCGCTCTCCAATATTTACTCAATTTTCACTCACAAAAATATATTATAAAACTATCTCTCTTGAAAACTGGTATATGTAAAATTATATGTATATCGTAGTAACATCAATAAAGTTTTTACGATTGTGTGAATTTCTTTACCCCCGTTCATGTTAACTCTTCTGACCCACTGTAATTTTGTCTTAAAATCCAGACAATAAACTGCGGTGACAGCACAGATGCGCTTTCATAAATTGATGGGAGGTATATACAATAATTGATGGGAGGTATATACAATAATTGATGGGAGG